TTCGTAAGTGCCGACGCATGTTCACGTTAGAGACTTGTGGTGACCTACATACCAAAGCAGCGTTGCCCAAGTTGCGTTATTAACGCAACTTGGGCACGCAGCTCACTTACGGTGTTATCCGAAGCCTCTAATTTATATTGTGATTCGGCTAGGCTCGACTTCAGGGGCGTAATGTCTGTCCTTTAGCAGCCTAGTGAAATCGACGTGGTCGGACGTGACGGGGGACAGTTTGTTCAGCACCTTCGCCACGAATGTGGGCACGTCGTCCGAGCCAGTCTCCTTCAGAAGTGTGTATCGGTGGAAAAGCAAAGGAGGCCTATCGACCTAAATGTAAACGCACCTCAGCTTCAAAGCAAATTTTTGCCGTCCACAAAAGTAGTAAAGTTATGACTTTGTTTCAGGAGGGGTCCAATATTTAGTTTATTAAATTGTAAGTTATGGATATTGTTATTCTTGTGGTAGTGAATAAACATTTTACAATTAGACATTGTGTTAGTACGTTGTTGTGCACATACACAAATTGTAAGTATGGCTAATTGAATTTAATGTCACAAAAACGTAACTTTCGAGTAAAATTCCTGCTCCGAGACCTGCAGCAGAAGCCAACGTGACTGCAGCACGAGGCGCAAGCAGAACGTGACGTCCTCACTGCCTTCCTGTCTGCAACAGCTTCACTCGTGGAAGTCCATGATTTCACGCTCTGCGGCATTGTTGGTTCTCACGTTTATTAGGGCAACACGCTACTATTTTATAAATTTGAAACTTACAAATAATTAATTAATAAAATTTCTGTTTTTGCAGCTACCGTTTACTTAATTTGCAATTAAATATATGCGAAACTGATTGTACTGGCACTGTTTCTTATTACGTCTTCTATTATACCATGTTTTAACAAATTGGGGAAACGAGTTCTTTAGTCGATTCGGCAAACGTAGTACGCTTTCCGGGCAGACTGAGTGACGATCTATGAAAGGCTGCTGGAAGTTAATGGATGCGACATGCTAAGGGCCTGGCAAAATGGCACATGTCCAGCTGTAGACTGCAAAATGATGTTTTAAGCAAATGTAAATCCAGGCAATTCAGAGCCATGAGATTATAATCTTTTTTTATTTATGTAGTTTATCATATTTCTTTCTCATTCTCTCTTGCACGCTATTGCCCGCTTATAACCGTAGCTCTCACTGCCCTGGGTTGGCTGGAAGAGATCTCTTTTAGAGATAACCACCACATTTGCTCACTTTCTGTTGAACTAATATTTTTGTTGTATTTATTTAGTGCCATAAAGAATATTGTAATAATTTATAAAGATTATATTTATTATACGACCTCCGTGGTCGAGTGGCTTATATTATTTAGTTATTATATATTTTTAACCTACACTGGGATCGCGGAGTAGCAAATTAATTTACTTCCATTTTTATTAACATTGACTTCCGCAAAGTAATTAATTATATTTACTTAATTTAATATTATATTTGATACACGCCCAACACTTCCTCCAAGAGGTTTTTTATTCAAAATTACAGTTTTAATAAAAGTACCTACCATGCTTTCAGGAGGAGATCGTATATGGGGATACTTGCTGCATATTTACTCAAGTTGTATGATAGAACATTGAATACAGCATTATGTGGCCAACCGCACCCAAACAATATTTTAAGTTGACTCGAACACTTTGCGGCGCTGCTGCGGGGTAGTGCAACCTAATTAATCGCCGTGGTCATGCCGCGCGCCGCGCCCTTGTAAGGCCCGTGTAATTATCGGTTCTTTGCCAATTATTGTTATTAACACGTAGCTTCGACGTCATCGTCAAGTGAAAAGTCGTGAAAGTATAAGGCTCTTCAGCAGTTGTTTAGTCTAAATCTTTTAAATGACAAAGACGGGGGACTGGGATAGGGTAGGTGGCGCTAATCCTAAATCCAATAAAAGAATAGTCGGCATTATCCATAAAAATCTGCACAATGAGCGCCATCTAGTTGCTTAGTTGGTTATCAGTAGAAATTAGAGTATACAGCTTTGAGGAACCTCCTCGGACGACGTTTCCTGTACGTTTGGCGCAGCCTGAGCAACAATCAGCCCACCCACCTTACGTCAATTGCCAATTCCTTTCACTATAGTGTATGCCATCAATAAGATAAGAAGATAAATTCCAGCTTGTCAATGTAATGCAATTATTTATATTTGGTACTCGTTGCGACATCTCGTGTACCAATAGGTACTAAATAATCGACTACGCTGTCTTCGATCGCGGTAAAAAACTAAACAATTTGGGCCAATATGAAACTGTTTCGCCGCACTGCGCCTCCCTTCACGCCACTTCAAAATTCTCCTGAATGTTTTTTGGTCCACATCTAAATTGTACTTTACACGATCGACATAAAGTTCATTACGCTATGTATAATTTCATTTTAAGAAGTCACCTTCATTCCGTTCCGCGGGTATGGAAATTGTCGTATTTTGGCTTTACGAGGTTGGAGTTTTCATGACTATGTTTTTAATGCAATCAGATTTAAGCTATGACTACACCAACTATCTTGCGTCCAGACTCGACTTTATGACGACTTTGTATTCATCAAATTTTAAAATCTCGACTAATGACGCCGGAATAACGCACGCATCGTACGCGGCACCGCGCTTTGCCGTTCAAATGTGGTGGCCCTAAGGCAGCCCTTCCCAAAGTGGGCGATAGCGCCCCTTGTGGGCTCTGCAGGCCTAAAGGAGGGAGGTAAGAGTCCCAGAAAAAAAATGGGGGCGTTGTGTCGAGGCGTAGGTGGAGATTTATAATTTCATCTAGGAAGACTCTTAGACACCGCCTAAGCTCTCGACACTCGACTACAACTTGTGAACATCAACTAATATTAATTAAGAGATTGCTCAAACTAACTCGGTTCGATATTTCTCTCCGAGTAGTTCACATATCTGTCGTGTTTTATTGAATAAATAAAATAAAAATCATGTCAATCAGTCGCTCCGTTTCGAAATGAAAGTAGACACAAACAAACAAATAAAAAGGCAACAGACACAGTTTCGCATTTTAATAGTTATTAGTATTCCTAGATAGGTAATTTTCGTAGATAATAGACCGCGGGCAATCATGTTTTAACAAGTTTTTGTTAAATAACCCGATTTGTGCATTCCTGTATCAATCGGCTGGTTCATAGAATACTTGTTCTTACTTGTAGAGTACGATTGAGCGTCGAATGAGATAAACGAGTTTATGCATGTTTGTCTTTTTCCTGTCGATGCGTGCTGCTTACGCAATCCTATATAAACAACGTAATAATTATTTTATTTTCATTTGCGGTTTCGCGCGTAATAGATAAGCAGTACTTAAGTTCAACACGGAAGTAAAATAGAAGGAACGGCAATACTGTGCGGAATATATTAAATTCGGATTCATTGAAAATCCCACAAACCCATCGTCGCCTTTGTGCCTTCTATGTCTAAAAATATTTTCGAATGAAGCAAAAGCCTTCAAGACTGCAAGATCATTTGACTAAAATGCATCCAGATAAGAAAGATAAAAAAGTAGCATATTTTCAAGACCTAGCGAAGAAGCATAATACTCAGCCAAGTGTAGCAAAACTCTTTTCGGCGGCTGCTAAGCAAGATGACGACGGACTTCGAGCTTCGTACAATATCTCTTTGTTAATTGCTCAAAAAGGCAAACCACACAACATCGGAGAAGAGTTAATTTTACCAGCAATAAAGGAAGTAATAACTACTGCGCTTCATAAACCGCCAGCAGATATTATCCAAAAAATTCCTTTGAGTAATAATTCTGTGCAAAGACGAATTCATGAAATGGTTGAAAACATTGAAGAATCATTGTGCAATCATCTGAGGTCTAGCTGAATTGAGAATTGGCTTTTTACACTTTACCAACTAATGACGCATTGTTGCTATCTTACGTGAGGTTTATTAAAGATGAGAAAATATGTGAAGAACTATTGTTTGCTAGAAATTTAGAGACCGATACAAAAGGCGAAACCATATTCAATACATTGGAAACGTTTCGTGATGAGAGATTCCCTTGAAAAATATATCAGTTGCTACGGATGGCGCTCCGGCTATACCAGGGTGCCATAAAGGTTTCATAGCGTACTTAAAAAATAAAATTCCAGATGTCCTTGCTGTACATTGCGTTATTCATAGACAACATTTGATTGCTAGTTTAAGTGAACGACTATTTCAATCACTGCAATATGTCATCAAAGCTGTCAATAAAATCCGTAACAGCTCTTTGAATGATAGATTATTTCATCAGCTAACTTATAACATCAGTTAACTGCCACCGTGGCCAAACGGTTACCATGCCGGACTGCCACGCAGAGGTCCCAGTTTCGTTTCCCGGGTCGGGAGAAATAGTAGTATGGCCTACAATTATTTCTCTCGTGAGTTTGGGTGTAATTTGTGGTTGTCTATGTGTGTGTCCATGGCACCCGCGACACAGGGTTTCCCTAGTGCGGGGCTATGTTGAGTGTGTGCGTTATTTATTTATATTTATTTATTTAGCTTTGTGAATGACGAAGATTTCAACCGTTTGTTGTTTCATACTGAAGTTGGTTGGCTATCAAGAGGCAATTGTCTGACTCGATTTTACAACCTGTTTGACTCTATGATAGAGTTCTTGGAAACTAAAGATACAGAAGTGCTCTAATTATCGACTTCATTACTAATTAACAAAATATACATTCAATTCCCAGGCCGGGCTCTCCTCAAAGGGCAGCTTAATAATTTATTTTATATGTAAATCAAATACATTCATCATGCATCTCAATCACAGGGTGATAATACATACGCGTAGTAGGTTTATGACATTCAAATTCACAAGTCGATCGTGTAATTGTTGTTTATTCATACCATCATACAGTCCTGGAGATAAAAAACCAATAAAAAATAAATACAAAAAAAAACAGGTATTAAAAGGCCATTGTCCATTTGAAACATCTCAATTTAATATGATTTCTATTAACAATTCCTATTGTATAATTTATAAACCAAAATCTAAAACAGCAAAACATTGTGATATTTTTTAATGGAGCGTTGTGACCAAATATTAATAATGGGATGACGATACAAAAAAGATTTTAGAAACTTTTGTGTTTTATTAAAAAGAGTTGTTCGTGAGGTTGTGTTGACCGGTTTTATAACCCGGATTTAATCGGTTTTATGAAACCGCTTTTTCAAGGAGGCCGGAACAGGTCCCGACCTCAAACGCGAAGGAAATATGGCGACTACTCGATGACGGTTTGTTCCTCTTTCACGAAAAATTCAACAACTTCTTCAACGGTATTGGTTGAGTCGGTGTCTAGACCATCTGTATCAACATCTGTCAAAGAAAAATGTGCAATAGTTAAAAGTTGAAACTGGGAGATATTCCCAATATATCTCAATATCCCCCCAAATCTCTCCATTTCTCTCATTCAATGGATCATCTTTATTTACATATATCTAATTGACAAATAACGTACAATAGGATGACGGTACCAATTATTGACATTTTAATTGAAGTGTGACCTTAAATTTGAAATAACTTTCTTGTTTTTAAACATATAATCAATAGTGATTAATTTACTTGACAGATGTAATCCTCAAGAAAGATTATGCTGTAGCATGTTTGACAAAAAAGCTATTATAATTATTACTAAAATACACGAGACCCACCGAATATCTTCAAATGCCTACAATTATTGAGGAAATAACTAGGCTAACTAAGTCCTATAAACTCATATCAACCAAGTAGCTAGCGCATTGTGTGTACCACCGCGGACGATTGAAGCGTAAACACATTTGGGATTCAACTAACTACGACGACGAGCTGTATTGTTTTCCCGACACAAAGACAACCCAACGACGGAAGGGTATGCCTGATATGCCAAAATACATCAAAAAATGAACTGCTTATTGTCTCACATTAGGCTGATGGCAATTAGGCATCATGGCAAAAAGAAAAAATAAATAAATAATAATTGTTACTAAAAAAATTCTAAACAAGAATTTCTCAAAAAGTCCAGTAATGAACAGCAAAAATCCAGTAATTAATTCTCACCACACACCCAGTATTTGACACTTACTAATAAGAAACGTGTTATGACAGAGACTTTTGTTCAAAATCTTATTAGAAATTAATTTAAAAAATGTCGAACACTGACTGGTACTTGTGTCGTTACTACATTTTAGTAATACGAGTTTTATGGACATAAATCCCTTTAAGCATCACTTCAATAAGGTATAAAACGCATTTAGTTTGGACACTTCTGAAGCGTGCTGATATATGGGGTTCAATTCCCGCTTGACTATTAACATGTTACATTTCAACTTACAATTCCTAAGCTCGAGCCTGCGAGGCTTCTGCTCGTTCCACTCCTGCGTCTTGGCCTCGCGGTATTCCACGTACTTCTTCATCTGCTCCGTGCGCTTCGCCACCAATTCCTGTCCAGAAACAATAATAATAACGCACACACTCAACATAGCTCCGCACTAGGGAAACCGTGTCACGGGTGCCATGGACACACACATAGCCTACCACAAAGTACACCCAAACTCACGAGAGAAATAAATGTAGGCTATACAAATATTTCTCCCGGCCCGGGAATCGAACCTCTGCGTGGCAGTCCGTGCTCTGAGACAATGTTAACTGTTCGGCCACGGAGGCAGTTTAATAAAGGTTTATTAAGTTTCAACGGCCTCATGCGGTTGCTCTGGGAGTATCAGATCTCTGATACATTTAAGCACTGAAACTTCACACACGTGGGTTACAGAGGCTTTGTGTATAGCCTAATGTAATTTTTTTTTTCTCTGACAACCTTTTTTACTAACATAGTCTGAAGTTCTCTGTAACTAACATGATATGGACAATGTCTGAAATATTTATTTCCTATTTTTTATATTATTGACATTAAGCATCATTTAAGGTCTAAGACATACATGGGCGGGATATGTTGCAACACCCAAATGATGGCCAAAATGTAGTGAAAGAAACTTGGGGGAACGGCACCAAGATGGATAGACAACATCAATATAGTTCCGGGCCGTAGATAAGCTAGACTAACGAAAGATTGTAGTGGATGGAAACAAACAAACTACAAGAGGTTCTATACCCAGCAGTGGGTGAAGTCGGACTGGATGATAATCACTATTAACCCATATATTCCATATTATCATAGCCTCCTTCTCCTAAGGCCCCGTGTACGTGGAAATGTACAGTGGGCGTTAACGTGATTATATTCATTATTTCATTCATGAAACCAAATAATGTCGTAACTCGACATTGTGGAATTGAGAAAACACTATTTGAAAATTATAAAAAAATGTTGAATGAAACCAATATAATATTATACACTCGTCTAGAAATGTATAAATAAGTATTACATATAAACAAAAACAATCACATTACACTTTACTAAGTAATTGATGTGGTTGTCACTCAAGAAGTTTTCTATGAATTGTCAGTGAATTGTGAAATTTTTGAATCTTCCATATTTCATAACAGTACACTGTTACCTTCGATACTAGAATACGAAATCGCATTAGAGGACCTCAGTGGCATAACGGTTAACATTGCGGGCGCTAGATGAGAAAGTCTCGGGTCCGATTCCCGTTAGGACCAAATAGGGAAACGAAATTTCTAAACTGGTTCTAGTGATGGCGTTTTGGGTATTCCTTGGAGTGTCTTCTATTGCTCTTGCACTCATAGTTCATAGAATCCCCAAGGTTGAGATCAGGTAACTGGTGTGGTTGTCTGGTCTGTCACTATTTATTTTATATAAAATATGGTATTTTAAGAAGTTTGTTTTATTTAATCAATACTGTATAAATGTTAGCTATCAAGAGTGTTCCTAGTACTAATAAATTATGCTTTGAAATATATTCATAATAGTCATGATACGGATACCTACATAGACAAAAATCTAGGACATTTGTTGTAACTGTACAATTTTTATTCAAGCTCTGAAATAAGCAGTGTTTTTAATTTAATAATTATTCCGTCCACGAGTCGTACCTTGCTGGCTTTGCTGCTGCGCATGCGATCCTTGGACTCGAACTGCGAGTAGTACTTCTTGAGGTTCTTCTTAATATCCTTCTGCTGCTTTTCGGACAGCAGCGTTGGAGGCCGCGGCCGCCAGTGGAACTGCGCGAACCCTTCTTTCATCACCCTGTATAATAGGAATATTACTGTGTAAATTCACTGTGACACAACTAGTGGTATGGCTAGGTGGTTTCTCGACTGGAAATTACGTGTATTCTACTAGAGCTAATAATAATAAAAATCTATAATGATCAAGGCATATAAATCATAGGGTCCCAAATTTTTTGCCTCACCGTCCACTTAGGCAAGATAAAAATATTTCAATGCCAACCAGCACAAACAATAATACAATAATTGAAAACACGTATTGTTTTATATGTACTTAACACAAACAAATCACGAGGAAAAAAATTATATATTTGTAGTGTAGTCTATGTAGATAATTCAGGTTTTTTATTTCAAATGCGGTAGCACGCCCTAGTAGCATCGACGCCTCTCAAAAGCTTCCGAGACCCCTACCCCCCTAGGACTCTTCAGCGCCCACTGGGTAAGGAAGACTTTGAGGAACTATGGTACAAAAGAAACTAAGAACAGTACTGCACTTCCGACTGCCACCTGAACAACTCTCTGTTTGAAAGGTCCTAAACTAAACATCACACAAACAATCATGTTAGAATAAAGTTCAATTATATACTCCTGGCACATTTTCGGCTTCATTGCTTACATGTAAGACAGTATAAAAGCAACTTTTTCTGCTTACCTCCTCAAAATCTTGCCCTGGAAGGACCAAATGTAGTAACCGCAGTCCATTTTGCATTTGAGAGAGGATACACCGGTCACCACATAGCGCCCAGTCGGATCCCATTCAATGCCAGACATCTGTAAAACATTCAAAATTATCTTCAAGTAAAAGAAAATATTTGGAGCCAAATGCATTTCACTGTAGTGCACGAAGAGAGAATCAGGCGCAACACTAAGGTCTACGAGTAGTCTCCGAAATGTGCAATTATTCACAATGTTTTCCCCCTGACAAAATACGCAAGATTTTTATATGTTGTTTAGTTGCCATTCATGAATAAATAAACGACAAAATACTACAAACATACAACTTACCTGGTAATGATCAGATACATTCATAATGGTAAAGTCATTGGTGTCTAAGAACTCCAAAGCTCCGCCAGTAAGGCCAAGATGGGCTAGCACAATGAACTGTCCAGAAGGACACCAAAAAAGATGATTAAATGGTTTTCTCTCGAACTTCTTCAACAGTGTGGGCGCTTGCCCTGTATTTACTTGATAGAAACTTATACAAATATTCGCTGGGTCACCGTGAATGATAGCGAATTTCGATCCTACAGGCTCCCATGCAAATGCTTGAATTTGCTCCTTAATCTCAACAGAGTCCACTGGAATTTCCTTTTCTCTCATATGGAATATTTCAAAGTTATAATACATCCCGGAGTACTTAATTTCATTTTTGTCTTTCTTGACTTTTGAGTAGCGGTCGACTTTGACACAGAGGTAGTCTCCAGACTTTTGCCAATGGATCTTGCAGTCTGCGACTGAGAATAAGTTCTTTGAGCGGTTTTCGGTGCGATTTGGAATCTCTAGAAGCGTGACTCTTGCGGGAACGTCCTTGTCTTCGGCCACCCAGTATGCGAGAATATTGTCTGTTGGAGACCAGCTAAAGTCCCTGTAATTTGAACACAACAAATATTAGACATCTTGAAGTAACACAGTGAATCACTAATTTTGGTAATCGCATCTTAGTTATAAGTAACAAATACAAAAGTGCTACATAGAAAGTTACAGTGCAAATTGAATGGCTAGCTATAAGAGGAAAGGACATAATATATAGCACTAGCTGACACTCGACGCCCCCACGCCTACTGTACTACTTACTTGAGAAATAATTGGTTCTCCATACAAACTATCATCCCCCACTTCACCCATTTATTTTTGTGACAAAAAGTAGCCTATGTCTTTCATCTAGGTATCTATCTATCTTGTATCTCTATACCAAAATTCATCAAATTTGGTTCAGCAGTTTAGACATGAAAACATAATAGACAAACATATTAGTTTGGGTATATTGTCCAAACCACATAGGGTCCATTTTCATTCATGAACAAGCACGAATGCATGGTACTAATAAACGTAAAAATAACATAATTCTAATCACGTATTTACCTGATTCCAGGGATCTTAATAGACTTCTTGTCGAGCAGGCCGAAGCCGGGCGTCTCGTACACGGAAAGCACGTCAGTGCCGAGTCTTGCGAAATATTTGTCGTCTTTGCTCCAGCGAAAAATCGGCCATGTCACGTATTCTTCGGGTGGGGGGAAACTACGCTTCTCTTGCCCCGTCCTGTATTTTAAAACAATAATATTATAGACAAGGGTCTATGGACAATCAAATGAATGTTTTTGAAAATAGAGCAGTGCAACACGCAAAATAATCATAGCAGGCACAGTTTGCCTTATCTGTGTGTAGAGAAAGGTCCTTAATCTGCCATTGTAATCAACATAATTAATGTACAATTGCCTATTATACTATGAACAAATTAGGGCTACATAAAAGTTACATATACATATAATGTTCTGGGTGCCTGATAAGTTATTGGACATTAGTGATGAAAATGGAGATCTTATCAGAATTTATTTCATAGCTATAAAGTTGCATACATTGTTTATAGTGTGACAAATCTCAGAAAATTATTTCTTTATGTTAGTGTGTCACATTGGCATTGTAACAAACTGCTTCAATAATCAAATTTTTTGCAAGTAAGCTAAGCAAGACAAAATGTCCTAGAAAACTGTTTATAGATTTCAATTTATTCTACTTTTAATCAAGGCTGTAATTTCAACATCTATGTTATATGGATTTAAAATTGTTATTTTATTACCAAGTAAGATTAAAGAAACAATTACTTTGCAAAGTGATACATTTCAAAATATGGTAATTAGAGGTACCACAAAAGATGTTATGAGTCACATATTTTTATTGCCTACGTTTATTTCTTTAGTGAGTTTGGGTGTAATTTGTGGTTGTCTATATGTATGTCCATGGCACCCGCGGCACAGGGTTTCCCTAGTGCGGGACTATGTTAAGTGTGTGCGTTATTATTATTATTATACAACAAAGCACGTAATGATAACAACATATCATTAAGACTATTACGTTGAAAAAGGACTTTAGTTAGTGTCCTTAGGCTTCACAAATAAAAGTATTAGTGAGCTATACAGGCCTACTGTAGAATTTGTAAAAAGAGAGGCTCAAAAACTGGTTAATTTTTCTACGTTGATACGGCCAGGGCTTGAACCCAGGTCCCGAGATAGCGACACCTTGAAAACCAGCATACAAGGCACTCAATCATGAAGGTCATCAAAAAAGAAAAGGAAGTTCTAACCAAAATAAGAAACATCTGCATTAAAGCAGATTTCTGCTGCATATTAAACTTATCATACATATTTAACTTATAATAACTATATTAAATTGAAAAATTATAATATATTTATTTAATTAACCTCTAAATCTTACCTAATATCCCAAATGATTAACTTCTTGTCGTCTCCTCTATCACTGCTCGGTGAAAATGTAACAATGTAGTTTTCACATGGCGAGAATGAGATAAACCGTGCTTCTGGATGGAAAAATTTCTGAAATTGAGAGAACTTTGGGCCTGCCCATAATGCCACTCCTCGCCAATGGAATGTTGCCAGGTAGGTACCTAGGGGAGACCAAACTGCATAGGTTTCTGTCCAGTTCTGTGAAAAAATTTTTTTTATTATCTATGCATTCTATCCATAACAATTAAAATGAAATTAAAGAATGCTTCATATACAGCTCATTACAGTACTATTAAAATAAAAATCGAAACGAAAACTCGTAAAAGGTAACAGACTGTGACTCTTAAACCTTACCGGCCTCTCCTGCAACAACACAGGTTCAGGCAGAGCATTCTGCCAAACCTGTAGGGCGACTCCTGTGCCAATTCCGACCAGAAACTGGTCATACGCATCTGGGTCCATTAAATACCATTGCAAGTCAGATTGGACCTTGAATGGCTGAGGTGCTGGAGGTTCCCATTCTTTTGGGATTTCTGAATATCTGAAAATTGTTTTTATAGGTAAGAAACTTGGAGTCCTATGTAATGTTTAGGTACATGTCTTTTGGTGTTAAATTATAAGAGTGCATGATAGTATATGAAGCAATTTTAAAGAACTCAAAAACAATATTTTTAATAATCTTATCAAAGCTTTTTCTTTAATCTAAGACACTACATTACAAAACTAGCCACCGTAAATCAAAAGAAAGCATGTTTTATACTTACTTTTTGAAATCAGTGAATAGATTCACTAAAAACGTATGCTGCTTATCTAATTTACAATTATTAGTGGCTTTCACGGCCTCGGCGGCATTCTGGGGGTTATTGTACTCCAGAAAAATGTACCCAGTCGTGACACCATTCTCTGTGGTGGGGTAATACTCATTCACAATCTTGCCAAATTTGCTAAAGATCTTATTAATTACACTCTGGAGCTTCTCCAGACGCTCGGGCCCGACCTGCGGGCACCCGTCTACCACGATCACGTTCTCGTAACCATCGGACTCTTTCGGCTTTTGGTCCAAAAGGTCCTCCAATAATTCTGCAACGTCAAAGTTAGGTTATGTTCAATGACTCTCACTTCTTACCTTCAAATTACAGTAAAAATCACCAAAATGCACTCCCGTAAACACTTTGCAATTCACTAATTTCATAAAATAAGATATAATTAGCACAAACACAGAAAAAAGCGGGTAAATGCGTGGGTGAAGCATATGGCCGGCCCAACCTTAACTCGTGATAATTCCTACCTTCGTCGGGGATATCGTCGACGAAACCTTCCGGATCCTCGAAGTCAGGTTCCTCGTCAAAATTTTGGTCCTCATTATCACTTTGAGGGGTTTGATTTAGTTTTTCGTCGCCTTTTTTCTTAGCCATTTTGACGTTATAACGTGTGGTACCGGAAGACACGCCATTAGTGGACTAAATCATAGACAACAACTTTTTACTTTAACTGTAAAAAAACAAAGTTTTGTTGTTGCAAACGTTCATGTTGAGAATGACGACAATGGATGCTGGTTGCAATTTGCAATCGTTTCTAGAAGCAGTTTTCGGTCATTATTCAACATTGTAGATTTTAAGTATGGTATGACTATAACTCAAAATTGTGTTGACTATTTCAAACATTAAAATCATGATGGAGACCAAATGGACGCCAAACTATAAAACAACATGAGACCAAAGAAAAAAAACGCATAAATTTTAGCGGGAAACATTTAAACTAGAACGCAGGCCGTTTTGAATCTTTCGTTGGATAGGTTAAATTTATTTTCCTAATAATAATCAATAGTTCTTAACTATTTCTTGCTACATTTTATTACATTGTAAACTCGACTGTACAATGTACTCTTTTCTTCTGTGGTACTATTATTATTTACGTGCCTCCAATACATAACCGAGGTGGCACTGTATGTATTGACAGGTCATCGCACATGGAAATTGAGGTCATGCACAATGTGCATCGACATGGTAATGTACGAACAGCTTCATTTAGAATCACTGTATTAGTATCTGGTTTGAACCATTATTTCATTAAACTTATTTTAATACGTAATAAATTAAAATTACCTGGAGCTGTCAATATTTTAGAAATTCCTTAAAATATTCACGAGCTCTGAATTTTCCCTTTAGCGATTTCTGGTTCACGGTTTTTGGAAGTGCCTATGTCTAGTATACTCATAAATTCTTATAAATTACGACTGATATACTTGTAATAATAGACTTTGATTTCAATAGAAAGTTACTTATTAAGATACGAGAATGACGCCATTGAACACAATTATTATCAAAACGCTTTTCATTGGAGTGTTGTGACCATTTTGTTGTAACGACTGATTTCCTATTACCAGTCCGTGGTTATGTCGTGAAAATAGGAAAGCTAAATGTTCATTCACATCAATCTAAAGGAACTATTACACTTTGTTCATTTCCTTTTTCAAATTATAAATTGCAAAAATCTGAAATATCAATATAAAAGTACGTGATTTTCTTACAAAAATAGAACAATAATATATACTTATTTGTTGTCCCTGACGAGCACAAAACTTAATTTTCTTTAAACTTAAATTACCTTCGTGGCCGAATGATTACCATGCTGGTCTGTCCCGGGAATCGATTCCCGGGTTGAAAAAAATATTTGTATGTCCTACAATACTTTCTCTAGTGATTTCAGGTGTAACTTTGTGGTTGTCCATGTGTGTGTCCATGGCACCCGCGACACGGTTTAACTTGCGGGGCTATGAGTGTGTGCGTTATTATTCTTTTAGTGCAAGTATTTCGATGACTTTTTTTTATTGGAAAAAGAAACTTATTATTTATGGGACCAAACGCTCAAACTGACTGGCAAACAGTACAAATGTGTATGTGGTGTAGACTTTCTTCTCAATGAAGTCTTGACACCGAAAATCACTGTCAAATCTGAGTCATAAACGTGTGTCTTCCTTAGCCATGAATTGGGCGGATTCATCGATTGTATCGATGGAGTTATAACACTTTAAAAAAGAAAAAGAAGAAGCTTTTAGACATTTGAAATACCAAGACAATGTCGTCCATACGGCAAATGCGTCTTTGCATAAGATTTCGCTGGCTCTTCCAACCATAACACTAGACACAGAGCAGAAGAAACAGGTCAAATCACCCAACCACCAGTAAATGATGACTAAAATTAAATGAATACAAGTGAAGATGATGTCATACGAAACCAGCACAGCTGCAAATAGATTGCTGTACATTTACGACTATTTTATTACTTGTTCACCTCAAACGCAAACATTGGGTCAGGATGTCCCGGATCATACACGCTGGGCCAGGAGTAAAAACGCCATAAATAAGTTCGTTATATAATGATTACCTCATACGAACTCTACAATACCTATATATACCATTATATTCCACTGCCGTTCATCTTTATTTATCACAGACCAAATTATAGAAAATGAAGGTTCCAAAAACACACGTACAATTTTTTTTTCAAATAGGTTCCAAACAAACGAATTAAATACGAGATGACCTGAACCTGGAAAATAAAAAAAAAGAGTGATCAACGGCCTACAAAAACTATAATATGTGGAGGGAATATTTGTGTAATTTTATGAGGTACAGGCAGTTTCCGCCGGAAGCAAAAAATGTTCGAAATTCAAATAAACAAGCCATACGACTTTCAAAGCCTTCTATCACGGAGACTATTAGTGGTGCTGGAAGAAATGTCATAGGGGGTAACAGTGGTCTGCTGCCTGTGCAAAAAATATTTAAGATGGCGAATTTAAAATGGCCGAAGAAAAATTTGCTTCGATCCGTCTGAAAATTGGCATGCCGAGGTCTTTAGGAGTCCTTAATCGTAATTTGGGGTTAAAAGTTTTTTTTGCCATTTTTTAATATGGCTAATAATATGGCCACATAAGAGTTTATTTGGTTAAAAATGTCTACCGAAGGAGATTTGCTCTGATTGACCTGAAAAAGGGCCAAAAATGTGGAGGCCTCTAAGGGTCGTATTCTAGAACTCTACTCAATGCTCAAATTAGGATTTGAGTATGGTTTAAAAGAACTCGAAATCATACTCAAACAGTGCTTGTGTTTCCAGTGCAATCCTGCCTTGAGCATTGAGTAGAGTTCTAGAATACGACCCTAAGAGTGCCTGATAGAAAAATGTAGTCGAAATTGGGTTTTCGCCGTTTTATTAAATGGCCGCCATACAAGCGTTTTTTGGGGGTAGATGAAAATTTGCTCTAAGCCGTCTGAAAATCTCTTAAAAGAAAAATCTCTTAAAAAGAAAGGTCTCTAAGGGTGGTATTCCAGAACTCTACTCAATACTCAAGTCAGGACTTGAGTATTGCAGTGAGCACTGAAAATCATACTCAAGTCCTTGCCATTAGGGTCGTATTTCCAGTGCTTGAAATCATACTCAAATCTGCTCAAATCCTGACTTGAGCATTGAGTAGAGTTCTGGAATACGACCCAGAGGGTCATATTGAGTGCTTGATAAAAATTTGTGATCAATATTAGATTTTAGCCATTTTTTATATGGCCACCATACAAACAGTAGAAACGGTTTTTGACGGCAGATAAAAAAACGGCATGTGGGTCCTCTATGGGCGTTTGATAATAATTTGCGGTCAAAATATATTTTCCCAATTTTTAAAAATGGCTGCCATTAATTCGAGCATACTTTCCGAAATAGTGAAAAGAAAATACTTACAGTGTTATTGTATCTCGACCGTCTTTCTGCTAGTCTCCTCTTGGAAGCTGTGGCAGGTAGGTTAGAAGTATTTTAAATAACGGTACTCTGAGGGCAATACCGAAAATACCCAAAACAGAATCAACTTAAAAATGTTTGTTTCACAAACTGGCCCAAATTGGGAATCGCACCCGAAACCTTTTTCATCAAGCGCTCATAGTACTAACTGCTGTGCCACCAAATAATAATAAAGTGCATAAGCACACCTCGTAATCTGCAGCTTGATTTTGATTGCCTCTCCCGTAATTGCGATTCACAATTGGCCGATCGGAAACTTTTGACATTTCTAATCGGAACAATAGTTGATTCAACTCACAAATTAGAAAGATATAGGAATCAGGTTCATCTTTTCGCTCAGAAACCCATCTGATTTCGAAACTGCCTGATCGGTCCGATTCCCATTTGAATCAAAATCAGGACGCTGTACGCGACCACACGCCGCAGGCCGAGCTCGACCCCAATGTCGTAGGTAGGGTACAGGGCTCGTATATGTACTTTTACCTTTTTACATTATACTAAAAATGATGAACACCTCGTAAAAATAACATTCACTCACCACAATTACCCCACTGTTCATTTAACAGCATTTTTGCACAATTACGGGAATTGAAATAAGTAATTGCATAAACATCCTAGCAAGTCATACCGCGAAACGACTCTTTTTGCAAACTAACAGATATGCCTTTGTGGACTTATTCGTAACTAGTGCACATTGCAGCATCATTATAATATTTTATTATTATTCCACGCATCGAATCGTTTCCACGTGTTACGACAACTTTACCGATTCGTAGGACCGGAGTACCGTAACATAATTTGTATTTCATTCGGTTCGACGGGAGTGCCCATTCCCTCCAGCCAGTGAGGTTCTTGAGGTACCACCGAGGTAGCTTGTTGCCTCTAGCTAGTCGCTTGCCCCACTACTATCGCACCGTCATACTACCAGTACTCCCTACATAGCGTCCGCGAGACGTCGTGTTTCCCTCGTTCCAAAATCAAACTTCAGTCAAACTTTATCCCGATTCCCGCGCAAAGGTAATTCCGATATAATCCTTGTGAATGTTTTTTCTCACTGCAGTGTGTTTAAGTGTTTTAAATTGCAATGCCACTTTCAGTGCATGTTATTGTTGAACCAGTTGAACTTCTATACTTGGCCGAATCAAGCGGTCGCATTTCCTATGTTTATGTGAACCAAGCGCTGCATTGTAACAAAAACGTTACACATGTTTATAGCCTGTCTGTTTGAACAGAAGTTTCCAATATATTAAACTAATCATATAATACAGTCGTATAAAATACTAAAACAATTAAAGTAGCTGTAAATTACTCTGTGTGTTAGACCATCTATGGAATGTAATTACGGAATAACACTATATTTAGTTTGTTTACTTTTATCCAAAAATCTTATGAAATTACTAAAATAATGTATAATATAGAATCATATCATTCTGTCCCACATGATATACCTACTAAAATAAGTTTTAAGTAACGTAGGTCTTAGCTTGGAACGTAATCTAAATAATAACATGGAAAAAATGGCGAGTTTTTAGTTAGTTTTTTCACAAATTAATTTTTAATTTAAGTATTGTTACGTTTTGAGTTTCTTAATTAGTTTTTGCTTGTTTAAGCTGATGGCTGTATAGGCATTTCTCAACAAATAAATAAATAAATAATGACCTAAATAATAAAATAAAATCAAAAGTCGTTACATTATGCATATGTACGCAATAAATTATGTAGAAAAAAATCCAATATACGCCTAACTTGGTATTACCTACATGAAAATAATAAACCTCTAATCAGTTTTACTTATTCGACCTGGGAGTTAGGCACCTAGTTAAGTAAAACCTGTGTAAATACCATCGATACTAAATAAGTATAAGTAATAACTTATTTAGTATGGATGGTAAACGCCCCAGTTTTGTTTTTCTTATAATTCCTTGGCGTTAATACTTCGATTCATGTTTAAGTATTTTATTCTTTTTACTTTAGATAGGTACTGTTATATTTTTTTTGTGTTGAGTTATTCCCTTTTGCAGTGGCACGAACGCTGACTGCGAAAAAAATTGCGGTATTTCAACGTTACAAACCTAGTCGACTTGTTATTATGCAATCTACATTTACAATAATTATTATTCGACAACAATTCGAAGAACAATCAATAAGAAAATTCTCAGTTGTACAACTCGAAGAAATTGTTCACACGGATGAGAACCACGTTACGACAATCTAAAAACAAGTTGACCTTGACATTGAATAAGCAATGAATTAAAAAATGGACTCTTCGAATTGTATTTAGAGGTATATTATTTACTTTAAACTGAGAGAGCACAATGTAGTGAATCATAAGATGATCGGAATTAAAGGTGGGATAAGTTTGTCGTGATTTGCACCTACTTTAGTAATACCTAGTAAGATTTTTCGTCCTTCGGGAGGCTAAAAGCGTCTAATTAGTCATACTTAGGGTCGTATTCCAGAACTCTACTCAATGCTCAAGTCAGGACTTGAGCAGACTTGAGTATGATTTCAAGCACTGGAAATACGACCCTAATGGCAAGGACTTAGGTAAGTATGATTTTCAGTGCTCACTGCAATACTCAAGTCTTGACTTGAGTATTGAGTAGAGTTCTGGAATACGACCCTTAGTACAGATTTGGCAATCTTGGAGTATAATTTTCTTCAATACCTTCATTTTCTGACTTTTTTCGCATTTCTGGCTATTTTAAAACTCCTAACCTATTTCCAGAGATTTAAATTTCATTATTGAGTATTGGCTATATAAGCCATCAGCTTAAAAAGAGAACTAATTCTAAAACGCTAAAACCTTGTTAAAACTTAAACTAAAATTAAACCTTAAAATTATTTTTTTTAAATTAATAAAAAATAAAGTGAAACCTCATCTGTCTCGACATATAATTTGGCGTGCCATACAGGGCCCACAATGCGCTGTTAATTTAGCTTTACGCCTTTTCCATCCCTAAGTAACGTTATGGTTAAATCCTGTAAAAACGAACTATAAAAACTCCATTTTTCTTTTGTGTTCGTATCCAGAGGAAACCCAGAGGCGTTTTGAATACCTAGTCACGGAATAAAAAAAAATTCTACGTTAAAAACGAGAACAATTTCTAACTTAATAATCAGAGATCGAAATTGGCAGAGTATATTCAACTAAACTTCAAGAAAGTAATAATACTTCCTCCCTCAGAAATTTCGTGATTATTATATTGTATTTCGTACTATATTTTTGATGTCTAAATAGCAATTATGTAAATGATGCGTGAAGTTAGTGTATTCAGAAGAAAAGTTTTGTAATTGTAACTATAAATTGTTACAATGACCGGTCCTCTGTACAAATTGTATCTCAAGAGGAGTCTACTATTGTCAGAGATTTAGTCAGGAGCACAAATTAGAAAAATATAGTAAGTCAGTACTGGTCTAGTGGTATTTTATTCAAAACAAAGTCGTTCGTCGTCGTCTTGTCTAGACAGACACTATACACTGAGTCTATATTTGCGGTCATCACTGCGTTGGTCACCTATGGAGGCTGTATGCGACATTACACATTGGAAATGAAAATATTTTTTCGAGCCTTAAATCGCGTTTTTATCAAACAAACCAACAGGTCTCATGGCCACGGCTAACTCAGAAATTTAAGTACACGATTAGACCCGAGAAACTTGTTTCATTTCCAATATAGCTATTTTGTTTGATTTTTGCCCTTTATTTTTAATAATTCCGGGATTCCGAGAGTGGTATTATAGACTAGGTGTGTACGAGCGCGTTCCCAATATATGTCGTTACAACAGATAGGCGTGCAGTTTAAAGTGTCGTGTCTGGTATTTTAAAATTAAGTTGTTCGCATATAGTAAAACACTATTAACTGTCGTTCACGACTTTTTTGACGTTACGACAACAGACTCTCGTGACAATGGAAAGAGCTAGAACGACTATCCGGCGATAAATAAAACACCACGATGAGACAAAGAAAATGTGACTACGACAGATAATCGCAGTTTCAAAATGATTCTGTCGTGCAATCGAGTCGACAAGGCTGCTGCCGTGAACCCATAAATTATTGTCACGATCTAAAGCGAACAGCTAGACACGACAGTCGCTCAACGATAAAATAAACTTTCACGACACAGTCACGACAGATAGTCGTGATATGGGAATAGGCTAGACGCGACAGCCGTCCAACAAAAAATATAACGTTACGACATAATGGAAATGCGCCCTTACTCGAAGTTAAGGTAAATGTACTCTGTCTGATAACTATAACATTTTAGATTCTGAAGAGACCTCGAATTCCTACAAATTATATGAGTAATGTAGGTACATAATATATTATGTTCTAAGAATAAGATTGATCCCACACGGCGGTGCGACACGCCGCGAAATATATCCACGACGTGCGTTTGACGCACACTTGGCTCAATAAAATACACGAACAGACACAGAATATAAACGTGTTTTATATAGCTACTTATTATTGTACAAAGAAGGACGTAAATCCCATTATATTTTCCATGAAGCATTTTGCATACAATCACATTATAAAGATTTTATTGATGTTTAGTGTTTTATCTTGATATAGATTTGTTCCCTGAACGATAAAACTTGGACTTTTCGAGGCGAGAGTGATTAGGCGTTATAAAGTTGTGTAGCAGTAGAGCTCCTTGTGGAAGAGTTCGTCCAGGGAAGTACTGCCACCTGATCTATTTCTGTTGTCAGCATTACTGTGTTCCGGTTTTGAAGGGTAGGGGTGCTAGTGAAATTACAGGCACATGGGACTTGTCAAGTTATGTCTCAAGGTGACGAGCGCCTCGGATCTTTAAGACTTAAAGAGCTGAGTGGCACTGCAACTGTTATGGACAGGCGTGTAGCTTACCATCAGGCACACGACTTGTTCGTCCCGTCACTTGATACTATATAAAAAAATGCGCCATCATCGACCTCATCGTCAATTTCCATCAAGTGAGATTGAGGTCTTATTTTAACCATAAAAAATAACAAATTATAAGACTGAAGCTTTATTTTAAAACTTACTGTTTTTTGTAAAGCTTTATTATCAACGTAACCTGATTTGTTTCACAGTACAAGATGGGGTGGTCGCTCCTAACATTACTACTACTGGTGACCACAGCAAGCGCCCAGCGGGAGATCTGTCTTTCTGGCGACGACAACCCTTATCTACTTTTCGGTACGAAGACCGCATATATCTTCGCCAACCGCGGTGTTCCCAATTTGAAAGCCCACGACGTTCCTGGTGAGTACATTTCAATAATTATATTTTTATTATTAATAACCCCAATCATGAGTGACCAACCATTATACCATTCATTATGGAGCATTCAAAGTAATAAGTAAGAGTAGGTACTCTCACAGCTACTTTTACAACGTGCCAAGTAAAAGCTTCCACATACATCTCTACAATAACACAAACTAACGCATTTACATGGACAGAGCACTCCGACATATCACGTACAAAAAGTTAATAGTCATAATAGTTTTTATATTTAGGAAATGAAACTATTTTTCCGTATTTAAATCGCATATATTTGTTTTTTCAAACAAATCGACGTTTCGGGCCCTTTACAGGTCCCATGGTCACAGTTGACTGAGGTGGTACAGTCTTCAACCAGTTATGTCTAATATTGATGCAAACCACCCTATTTTTTCACTATAGTTACATTAGTTATTAATTAAATACCTTATTTTTAATTTTACAAAGAAAACATTCCAATTTACGCTATATTAAGTTTTATAAATGATTTTATTGAATGAATTTTTATTAAGTTCAATATATTATTTATTAATAATAGAAATTAAAATTAACTAAAACATATTAATTAGTATTGCAGTCTTATGTCTGTCTGGGATTTTTCATTAGAGGAAATACTGGATCCCAAACTGGTGGTACTGAGAAACCATCTTCCCTGTTGAAATTAGGATGTTTTTTAATTTCAATGGCTTCTCGCAGCATCCTGGGTAAGATAACGGACTTCTTTTGCAAGGACCTGGGGTTTGTCAAATTTCATTGAATGTGTAGGTTTATCCATGACATGCTCGCAGGCTGCAGACTTGTTTACGCGACGGTGTTTGACATCAGCTATATGTTCTTTGACGCGGGTACAAATACTTCGCTTTGGTTTGTCCAATATAAGAGAGACCGCACTCACAGTCAAGCTTGTAAACTCCTGCATCCTGTAAGGGGATGTTACATTTCACGGGTCTCAGGAACTGAGAAATCTTCCTCAGGGGCTTGAAATAGGTCTTGATAGATGCACGCCTGAGGACTCTTCCGATCTTGTCTGTAACACCTCTCACGTAAGGTAAGATGGCAGGTCTTCGCTCGACTGTTGGTGGTTTCAGACGGGGCCTGCGGCATTGGCGTGGAATCTTCAACTTATTCGCATGTAGGACTTGCTTTATATGCTGAAGTTCCCCTGCCAGATGATTACTGTCGCAGACACCATGTGCTCTCTGAAACAAAGATTTGCCCACGGTAGCTAACTGGCTAGCATGGTGATGGGAATTACCATTGAGATACCTATCTGTATGGGTTTTCTTTCGAAATACAGTATGTAGGCCATACTGTATTTAGGTGTTATTAGGATTTCTTTTAATTAAAATATCTAAGAAAGCTAAAGTACCACAATTCTCTTATTCCTTAGTAAATTGGATCTTAGTACTAAAAGAATTAAGATGGCCCAAGAAAGAAGGTATGCTATCTTTAGGTAATATTGTGAAAGTATTTTACATTCTTAACGCTATGTCAGAAGAGGTCTATTCAACCATCATAATTGAGCTCGTTAAATAATGTTAGTGATCTTAGTAGATAAATATAAAATATAAAATTAATACGACAAAATGGAACACGGAGCAGCTTATGCTTACGGAATTTCCTAACTGGAATTTTGAGTACAATATTACTGAACTCTGGGAGTTCAAATCCTACTCTGTGCAATGTTCAGAAAAAACAGGAAGCAGGTTAACTTCTCCGCAGATACGAAGGTAGATTTAGTAGCAGTAGAGCTCCTTGTGAAATAGTTTATCCAGGAAAGTACTGCCACCTTACTATTTCTGCCGCCAAGCAGTAATGTCATTATTATTGTGTTCCGGTTTTGAAGGGTAAGGTAGGTACCTGAGATTCATGTCACAGTGGAATATCATTGAGTTGTCGTTGTCTATTTGAATACCTATCAACTAATTATATAAGTTGGTTTCTTTAAGTATGAAGGCTGATATATCGGTGACTGCTTTCTTTGAATTAATACTACCTTGTATAAAAAACCTATCAAAGGATATATGAACAAAAAATCCAGATCTGAATTATATAGTTCTTTAGCCATGTAATGAATTACGATGTAATTAATACCTTGGCAAGGTACAATCTAGAACAATTCAATTTCATCGATCAATACCATGTCATTATTTTAACTTATTCGCGATGCTTATTCAAAATAATGAATACTCATTATTGATTGCTGAATCACAGATCTTTTCCACTACTATTTATTAGATAGGTATCTAACGGGGCTTACGCAACAGAATTACGCACGCTCAATTTTGTTATATCGTGACATGTAACAATAAATTTATAGCCTAGACATTTGCATTGCATTTGAAATACAATACGAATTATATTCTGCAAGCAACTGGAATTAAATAACCACACAATGATTCACTCTCAAGACTATTCCTAGCAAAGTGCGGAATATTCTACCGCAAAAAACCAAGAATGAAAAAGTGTACAAGCAAGAAAAAGAAGAATGTTTATAATTTCATAGAACTTTTGATGGATACATATACAGATTTATAGCCTGAATTAGAACGTAGGGCTTTTAAGGCGAACGAAGTGATATTCAGAATTTTTATTCAAATTGATATTCAAAAGTTTTTTGAATATTCCGCACTTTGCAAGGAATTTTCACCATTTCAACCTTAATGTATCTTATTTATTATTATTAGTATTATCATTACCTCATGAAAAATTATGTCACTCTTTACAAATTCTTCAATTTGTAATAATTTTTAGCACATTATAGGAACTAATGAAGGTTTATTTCTGTATACTAAAGAATATTGGAAGAGCGGGTCTTCCTGATACAGGTAGATGATACCTACTAGGAAGTTCAAAACTTAAACTCTAATTTAAGTTTTGAAAAAAATAAATAAAACTATTTTCTTTTTCATTTTTCAAAAGCCCTACATGCTAATCCAGGCTATAAACTGTAATCTCCATTTTGGTACACTTTTTCATTCTTGGTTTATTGCGGTTGGCTTTACTGGCACTGCCATGGTTGTAAACTCCACAGACATGATATTTTCCTGTCATAAAGAAGAGTTACATTCCCTGTCCTGTCTACATAGTTATCTCTATTTTTTTCTATATTATAATAAATTAATAAATAACAAATATTAGACAACATTACATACGTCTGTCACTCTGATCACAAAGTAAGTAACCAAAGCACTTGTGGTATGGAAATCGATAACAATGGCGGTAGGTACAGGACAATCGATCGGGGATCGAACCCGGGACCTCATAGAAACTCAAGTCTATAGGGCATCAATTTGTATTACCTCGTATAGGTCTATAATGATATGGGGTTCTTAAGAAAAAGTCCTACATCTAGTATGCAAATTATAGAAGTTAAAATAAAAAAGGTGCTATTGAATAAAATTCCGACTTGAAAAAAAGAGTGAAACAAAAATATTTTGTTGCTGTAAGGATGAACTTGCACTTCTTATATATTATTCTTATTGTTGTTTTGTTTAATAAGTAAAACTGACCTACATGAGACGTACCTTCGCACTCCAAGGTACTTACTTAATCATCAAGTATATCTATAATTGTGTAAGAGCGTGCTCGCCAACAAACGGTTTCCAGTTTGGCGGGAGATAAACTTCTGTATACTTTTGAAAAATAAATAAATTAAAAAATCCGTGGCGGGAAAACGGCCATAACTACGGATTTCGTGCTTCGAGGGTAGGGTCAGAGTCAGCCGTGACCATTGCCCGTGTAAAGAGCTCGAAACTATAATTTGTTTTGAAAACACAAATACCTACTATATTATATTACTATATATGCGATTTAAATCGGAAAAAATAGTTTCGTTTGTATGTATTAGCAATCGCAAAAATTTAAGAACTCGATAAATATTTAGGTAATGTCAAATTTTTTAATGGAATATAAAAAAGATGTATAAGAGAAACTTTATTTCTTCCTTAAAACGTTGCAACTTTTCGATATAAGATGCAAAATACAAAAACTAAGTCAATAGCACAAAAGCGTGTAATGACGTAGAAACAGTGCACCAAAAAAGACAACAAAAATGACAATGCCAAAAGTTCGTTGCTCTCGACATTCAAAACACTAGCCATCGAAGTAACAGAGTAATGACACATTTCGTCACAAAATTGTAATCATAGAAACGATGATGTTGTATGAGTCTGTTTTTACAAATCGTCCAAATGGAATTTGAACGAACACTGATTATTATAATACCTATGTAAAATAATATCTGGTAAAGTTTTTGATCTATTATTAATTCATCATCATCATCAACCTATCGCAGCCCATTACGGGACATAGGCTTTTCCCAATCTGCGCCATTTCGTACGATCCTCAGATTGTCGCATCTATCTGCTGCCTTTCGCAGATCGTCACTCCATCTGGCCATAGGGCGTCCCACACATTGTCATGGATTCCCAAGGGAATACTCAATGTTTTTTTTATAAAATTGTCTTTTTAAAAAAGGCAAAAACGCAAGACTCGAAGTGTCTAAAAAATTATTTACGTTACGTTCATTCATTGACCTATCAACATCATATATCACAAATTGAAAAGATGTAGTTATGTACGCATATTGAAACGCTATACCTACGCGAAAAACTAAGATAAACGAATATATACAAATAAAAGGTATACAAATACAATATATCGAATATATTTTTGTAACTTTTTGTTGCTACATTAATCGTATTTTCTTTTATCTTCTGACAGAAACTGTAAACTTTTGGAAACTGTCCAACGGTTTAATTTTCTAATTACCAGTAATTACACAACGTGCGCGGCCTTTGAAAATCAAAGTCGCGTAAAAATTGCTTCATCGCTCGCGCAGGGCACTGGATGTGCATCACTGCTAATTTTAAACACAGAAGGGACGGTATTGAACCGTAGAAGCTACTAGATTTTTCTGCTTAATGAACGAAGACCAGATTTGAATATGTTATATAATATTATAACGTCTAATAAACGGA